CACTAGCTTCTTTCTCTTAGCATGATGCTCAAAGCTGTTTTTCTGGCTTTAGCCACATCCACAGAGTCTGGGGCTCAAGTCTTGGAGGAACTAAGAAGCCACGTCTGCTCTGGGGATGATGCGGCAGTACACCTCTGTGTTTGGGTTGAGTAATTCCTGTCAAAGAAAGAAGAGATCTCTGAGCCCTGCAGCCTCCTCAGAACACGTGCTGTGGGGCACTATGGGGCTGACTGTGCTGGGGTGTCTGTCCCCAGGCACCTTCCTCCCCCCACCCTCTGTGGTCACTTTTCGCTGCCCTTTCCTGAGCCTGGAAGCACAGTCAGGGCTGGAATTGGGGCAGATCCTGGGGCCACTGGGACCTGCAGGGCAGAACGTTTATAACCCACACTCACCTCGTAGATGGGGCCTGTTGTCCTGGGGTCGGGTAGGGGGCCCTGTGCAGGGGTAGAGAGGGCATCAGAGGACAGGGAGGGAGGGTTTTCTCCGCAGGACTGACAGCTCTGCCTCCTGAGCAGCTGTCTTCACACCTGTAGCCCAGCACCCCAATTTCAGCCCACACTGCACCCCCTCACCCTTGTTAGCCTGGGACCTCTGACTGGTGCTCCCAGTGCCCATTCTGCTCCATGCTGGACTCCAGGGTTCCCCTCAGACTCCGGCCCTGCCCTGTTCACCCCTGATGTGAGGGCCCCACTAGGCCAGGGCGGGGCTCCCCTTGTGCTGGCTGTTCTGGGGAAGGGGTCTGTGCTGTGTTGAGAGGTTGGATGGTGCCCCTGCCCTGAGCGTGGGTCACTGAGGCCCTGGGTGAGGGAACAGGGAGGGGATGGACTTACCGGGAAGGCAGAGGTTCCAGAGGGACCCTGGCCTGGGAGCAGAGACAGCAGGCGTTAGTACCCATGGGGAGGAAGCTTTGGCCTATTCTTTCAGGAGGGGATGGTTCTTTAGCTCCCAAGTGCCAGGGGTGGAAGGTCATCTCCTAGGGTGAGACCCTCTGGCCATTTCAGGGTCCAGTGAGGGAGAGGTGGTGACACATGACACTGTCTACATGTCAGGTTGACTGGCAAGCCAGGGTCCCCTGTGCAGAGTGGTGATGAAAATCCCCCTTGAAGTCCAGGGAAGGGTCAGAGGCTGAGGGACAAGGGCAGGGCTGGACACTGTGGGGCAGGCCTTGGGGCTCCAGGCTGAACAGACACTCACCAGGGGTGGCCGCTGGAGGTGGGTGCTCTCGGAGGCCATGCGGGTCACTGGCCCTGGGAAAGGTCAGACTTACTTGTGAGAGGTGCAGGGGAACTTTGGTGTCACAACAGGGGGCAAGGAGGGTCTCCTTTCCCAGCAGAGGGTGGAGGCCTCTCTCCATTGTTTAGGGGGGATGGGCCCAGGAGAGGGGAACTGAGGCAAGGTGTTAAGGATCCACCGTTGACTTGGGCCCACAGGGAAAGGACCCACAGGCAGATGGGGGTCTGGGAGGAGTTACCAGGGAAGGGACTGAGGACCCAGGACAGGAATCTACCCTGAGGGTCTGACTTAGTGGAAAGGTCAAGGTTGCAGGTGGCAGCAGTGCCAGCCTCTCATGTAGCATCTGGATGAGTGTGGTGCCTGCTGTGGCCAGACCTGCCCCTCAGGCCTACAGAGCTACACTGTGACAGTGGCCTTTCCTGTCTCCATCCACCTTAAGTAGAGGCAAAAACCACACCACAGGTTCTGCTGTCCTGTCCAGGCCAGGCCTCCCATCTCACAGGTTAGGATTGTGGTTACCAAACTGGCTTCATGGGGGCATTTGACCCACCCACTCTGTCCAGGCTCTTCCACCCTCAGCTGTGTGGCCTTGGCCAGGATGACTTTTAGACCCTGAGGCAGCCCATCCCCTCACCTGGGAGGGTGGACTTAGATAAACAACAGGAGGTGTCTTACTGAGCACTTACTATCTGCTGGCACCCCTGCAGGTGTGTGGAGGGAACCAGGACAGTCCAGAGGGCACAGTTCCTTAATTTTGCCTCATTTATAGGTGAGGAAGCTGTTGAGGAAACCTCCCTGGTCAGCAGCTGGTGAGGGAGGAGCTTGATGGAGGGAGTTAGGGGCCTCCATGGGGAAGCTGGGAGGCCACAGGGAGCCGGCCCAGAACCCTCTGAGGACGGGGTCTTTGTCCTCCTGGCCTGGGCTCTGCTGGGGGTCAGCCTGGGTCAGGGGACAGGATTAGGGTGAGGGTGAAGGAAATGCCATGGTACCTCCTCGTCCTCCTGAGGTACAGGAGATAGCCCAGGGAGGCCCCCAGAGCCACCACGACGAGGACCCCGATCACGCTGCCAACGATGGTCCCCACAGAGTAGCCCGTGTCCTTTTGTTCTGCTGAAAGGAGAAGGGAAAGGGGGAGGGGTGAAGGCCCAAGTCCACTCTGGGGAAACCAGGAGGGGCCTTGCAGGGGGAGGCCTGGTGAGGGAGGAAGGAACTGCCACCTGGTCTGTGCTGTTTGGGAGTGTCAGTCCTCCTGACACCCCACTTTTGGCGGTTGCATCATTCTCTGGTTTGCACATTTGAAACCTTCCATTTGCTCTACCTTTTCACGTACTCTCACACCCACTGTTCCCAGGTCCTGGTAATTTTTCTCTTAACTCCTCTTTCCCTCACATATTCTGTCTCTTACCCCTGTTTCTTCTTTTCCATCAGTATGGACAGTCTTAGCAGGCATCTTACTTGTCAATTCAGTGCTGATGAGTAATAAAAATGTGCTGAGTGTTTTCAATGGCCCAGTAGGGTGGGAAATACTCTACTTTCATGTCATTGGATCCTTCCACCTCCACCAGGGACAGTGATGTTACCCCTATGAGCACAAACAAAATCAGGGATGGGAGGTGCTTAATAAATTGCTGGAGTCACAGAACTGGTGAGTGATAAATGACATTTTCACCAAGTTCTGCTTGACTTTACAGCTACTGACAACAGTGTTTATAAAAATAACAATAATAATTGGTACACTGACTGAGTCCTGACTGAGCATGACCCTGTCTGAGGGCTTTATTCTCATTAACCTCACAAGAATTATTCTAACAACGGTGTTTACGTTCAGCTGTTTTATTCCAGTTTAGAGACAAGGAAACTGAGGCTCAGGTGGGTGAGAGCCTTCCCCGTGGTCAGACAGCTTATACTCATAGAACCGAGACAATGATGAGATTCGTCTAATACTGGGGTCCGTACCCATGTGCTCTATAGGCTCTGAAGGAGGCTCCCACCTCCTCAAGGCTTTCATCCATCTCACCCCCTGCCCGTGAAATATACAAAGAGCAAGTGAGAGAGGTGGAGAGTCACTTACATTGCACATCCAACCTGAGGGGTTCACTTTTGCTGGAACTGACGGGGTTGAAGACCTCACACTGATAACCCCCAGCGTCCTCCCTCCTGACAGGGTCTATGGTGAGGGTGCTGTTGTCCTGGGACAGCTTCATCCTGTCCGTGAGCAGGAGACTCTGGTTCTTGAAGAGCCACTGGATGGAGATGCCCCTGTCATTTGTGAGGCAGGTCAGGACCACGGCGTCCTTATGCTCTGTGACTGTGGCATTGCTGGCTCGGATGGAGGGCTTCCCCACGGGCTCTGTGGAGAAACAGAGGAGGTGACTGACTGAGAGTGGGCTCCTTCCTCAGAGATATCAGCCACTCACAGTCCACAGTAATCTCTATAAAGGTCACCAGAGGAGGACTCTGACCTCTGCAGGGTGAGGACCTTTGTTCAGGTGACAGTCTGTAAGGAGAGGGCTATACCTCCCTCTTCCCTCCAGATCACCTCAGGGTGACCCATGACCTGTCTTCCTGGATTACTGAGGTATTAGCATCAGGGGCCGTAGACCGTATGTCCAGCATCTTCATCACCAGGTGGCATTTTCCACCCATTGATTTTTGTGTGACTCTTTCCATAGTAGTCTGTGACTTTCTAAATAATCACATCCCCTCTCTCATATGGTGGCTATACATAGAGATGGGAAGGCATTTCCTTTTGTTAAATAATTTATTAGAGAATATAGCCCAGCCAGTCTTCATGACCTTAGGACCGGGAGAAGTTTCAATATAAAGGATTTCTCAGTCTGAATAGGACTTTCACTTTCTGGCCTGTGGATTGAATATCACAAAGTAGGAAATTCCTATAGAGAAGTCGTCAGTTTTAACATCAGGCTGGTACTCTTAGTGTCTTTCCCAGTAAAGTACACACTTTGTGGCACTGCTCCTACTGTCCGAGGAATCTACCTACTTGAGAAGTAAGCACCACCGTTTACTGCTCTCCATAGGAATGTCACATAGGCTCATGTCGCACAGTGTTTACAGCTGGTGACTTCAGAGCCAGGACACAGCTCAGAGGAGTATCTCCCCTGTGACTCACTCTCTCCCATTTCCATGCAGCCTGGTCTGAGGGAGGCCATGGTGTCAATGGGTGACATGATTTGGCCAGTTGGAAGACAGGCTACTCATGCATCTTCACCACGGACCCCTGTCCCACCACAGAGGGCTCAGAGTAGCGAGTCACCAAGTGAGCCTGGAGCAGCGCAGGGAGCAGGGGTCTGACCTGCTCACCCCTCCTCAGAGGTGGTTTTCTCCTTTAGTTTGGGGAAAAGAGATGAACTTATTCAAAGCCTTGTATGTTCCTTGTAGCACATGGATTAGGTAACAGATAAGAAAAAGGTGACAGAAGAAAGTGTTAGTGACAGAAGAAGCAACTTTGCCTTGAGGGCCCTTTTTTTCCCCCTCTGGGAAATTCCCTCCCTCCACCACTTGACTCTTTCTGTGGCTAAGAGAGCCCCCTCCTTATTTTCCAAGGCCAGACCCCAGTTCTGCCAAGAGAGATCAGAAGAGCAAGGGGAGGAGAGTCTACAGAGATGTAGTGGGAGGGTTCGGGGGAAGACTGTGATTTGGTTGTGTCTATGGCCACTGAGTGGGAGACAACACCCTCTAGGTTCCTTCTATAAACCACACAGACTTGTACCCCACAGCCTGGTAGTGATGATCCAGGAGGCACTTACCAGAGATTGTGATAGTCTTGACCGTGGTCCTATTGAGGCCAGTGACAGAGTTATGGGCAAGGCAGGTATAGGATCCACTATCATTGGAAGTGACGTTGCGGATAAAGAGCTCCTGTGTGGGTTGCTGGGGCCTTCCATTGATAAGCCAAGAATACTGTGCAGGTGGGTGAGAGGCTGCCTGACAGGAGAGTTTGAGGTTTGTCCCACGTAGGTAATGGGAGTCTGATGGGGAAATGATGGGGGCGTCTGGGCCATCTGGAGCAAAGAGAATAAATTCTGATTGAAGAATGATGTAATCAGAGGGAAGGGGAAGGTCTTGGTCTGTGTAAGGGCCACACTCTCCCTCTAACTGGGTCACAGCCTGGTTTTAAAAAGTCCCACCAATAGCCCCTCCCACCCATAGCCCCCTGTGTTCACTGAGCCTGAGTCTGAGACATTAACCTGTTTGTCCCTTGAAAGCTTGTTAACCCTGAGACTCTCAAAACTGTAGTATCCTGTCCCCTCCCAGTCTTGGCTCATGGCTGAGCCTGCCCAGATGTGCCTGGTACAGGAACTCATGGCCACCCTGGGTGTTCAGAGTGGGGGTCTGTGTACTTGGACCTGAGAGGGATGGATGTAGCCTGGCCTCTGGCAGTGTGAATTTGGGTGGACAGCCTGGCCCAGGCAGGGACAGAAGTTACTCACAGACAACATTCAGGGTGAATGGGTCACTGCGGCCAGCACTCACGGGGTTCCGGGTTTCACACTCATAGGGTCCTGTGTCTTTCCTTGTGACAGGGAGTAAAGTGAGAGTCCTGTTGTCCTTGGACAGCTGCAGCCTGGCACTGTTCGTGATACTCTGACTGTTGATCAACCACAGGTAGGTGGTGTCCTGAGTCCGAGGTTCACACGTTAACACAACAGGGTCCTTGTGCTCCTCAGGGTGGGAGTTGCTGCTTGTGATGCTGGGTTTGGGTAACTCCGCTGTGCAGAAAACAGAGAGAACATTGCCCATTGAGTCCTACAAAGGCTTCTTCAATCAGAATTGGTGCCTCTCAGCTAACTTGAGTTCTTCAAGAAGTAAGGCAGGTCTGTGCATCGCAAGACAAACAAATGCATGAGGAGCTCAGAGATTGTAAGGCCGCCTGCTTTATGTCTGGGAGAAAAAGCACAGACTTTCTCAGGTGACAGACAATTATCAGTGTTTGATCACAGAGGGACACAGCAGTGGGAGTTAGAGACCATATGTCCTGGCTCCTCACTGACCAGCTAACTGCCTGGCTTACCTTGCGTCTCACCTGGGGCTCCTCACTGACGAGCTGACTGTCTGGCTAATGTTGGTGCCTCACCTGGATGTGCAGGAGTTGAGTCCCTTCCAGCTACACAGACCTACATTGCTGGGTTGAGATGTGTTTCCACTGAAGTCTCACATTCCAGGGTTAACCTAGAGATGAGTAATGATGGGCCACCCATCGTGGTTAAACCCTGAGAGGACTGGGTAGTGTGGTCCTGAACTGAGTGTCTGAGCAGAAACAGTACACGGAAGACCAGAAGCAAGTCTGGCTGTGAGTTTAGTACCCAGGCTGCAGGGCCATCAGGTGTGGCCGTCTGCCCAGGAGTTCGCTGGTGACTGACAGGAGACGTGACCCCAGAAAGGGTAGAGCAGAGTCCAGGAATGACTTACAAAAGTGTGAGGGTCAGTGGGAGCTGGATGGCGGTGGCAGCGGAGCCAGGCTCTCTGTCCTTGGTCTTTAATGTCCTTTCTGGGACGGCAGAGGGTAGGGATTCTTCCTCAACATGCAGATAATAGCATGTATAGAAGAAGGATTTGGGAAAGGAGTGGGAACATGAACTTGCTGAAAATATGGCCCTCATGGTCCATTTGTGTTTGGAAGTTATGAGATAGATTTTGAGTTAAATTGTGAAAGATTATGTGAAAATCATTATTCATGCCCCGAAGTTCTAATACCCGTTTTTGGAGGAATTTCTGTCTAGAGAGCACAAAGGTCATAGACCAAGTTTTGCTGTCCAACCAGGTCACACTGTGACCAAAGGGAAATGTCACAGTGGGTTTGAAATGAGGGACTCCCTGGGATAGAGAGAAGGTGAGTTCTGCTAAGAGAACAGAAGTGACGGGGGATGGGGAGGGCGAGTCCAGGTGTCTCTGCTGTATAAAGGGAGGGATGACACCAAATTGGGAGAAAGGACATGTGCCTGTTAGTAAAGTTAGGGAGACGGTCTCTCCCTGTTTCTATGGACAGTCAGGCAGATGGGGAGGAGCTCCCACATGGGCATGTGGCATGTGCTCTTCCTTGTCCTTCTAACTCACGAAACAACTGGAGTTCAATCAAATTCATTCAAATTGGGCAGCATCTGAGAGAAAGGAGAGTGGCTGGTGGATCTCACGGTCTGTGAGGATCCCACCCTGTGGTCAAGGTGTCATCATAATGACACACGTGTGTGAAACAGGCAGTGAACCAGTCAGATGGTGCAGGGTCACCAGGCCCACCCTGGGAAGGTCTCTGGAGCCAGTGGGAGGAATGGAGCCTCACACCAGGACAAGGGTGTGAATCACTAGTCAGGGGTGAAGGGAGCCTGTGAGCTTTGAGGAATGAGACCTGTCCTTCTGCCTTTGACTCCCTGATTGAGTCATATAGAGAGTAGGTCAAAGGTTTACATGCCCATGTAACGTGGCCTCTTCCTATCGTAGGCCTCAGGGGAGGAAGGAGCTCTGGATGGGGGCCAAGCAGAAGCTCTTTCTCCTGGTGGCCTGAGAAACTGGCTCATGATGGAGCTTAGGCTGCTCCTACTGATTTTTGTGTCCTTTCCTATTGCCCGAGAGGGTGGGCCTGGACACGGGTGTTAGCAGGACAACCTGCACATTGGGGAAAGCAGAGCAGAGCTAGGCAGTGTGTCTGGAATGAAGGAAGAGGCAGATAAGGGACATGAAAGGAGCAGAGAGATGCAGAATGTCCTTGGTGAGAAGTGGGGGTCACAGGTGACTTCAAAGACCCCAGAGACCAAGAGCCCACAGCTGCCCCAGGGCAGGAGTAGTGCAGCCTGGAAAACCTTCCCACAGTGGAACAGCCCCAAGTCACCAAGGGACTTGATTCCTGTGGAGGCTTCAGGGACAGGTGGTCAGAGGGATAGACATTGCTCTCAGCTCTTGTAGAGACAGGGAACAGGTGTGGCTAAAACCTTTTGTGACTCTGCATCCAGGTTCCAGTCTCTGTAGCAATTATGCTTCATTCATTCATTCATTCATTCATTCATTCATTCATTCATTCATCATTCACCATCATTCCTTCCCTCCTTCATGAAAGAGCAAGTGAGTGCTGGTCCCTGAGCTGGTAGCAGGTGCAGGGTGGAGAGTGAGAAGGCAAAGTCCTTTCCTTCATAGCTAGTGGGAGTGACACCAACATATCAGGAAACAAATAAGGGGTTTCAAGTCCAGTGCAGGGAGGGGTGGATCGGTAACCTGAAGGGGAGGCCTGGGCATTCCCAGCAGTGACTCTGAATGTTATTGTAGGTAATCTGATTCTAGAGTAAAAATTAATTCTCCATTTGCTTAATCACCAGACCAGAAAATCTACCTTGAGCTGGGGTCTGCTAAGAACAAGCACTGAACCAATGGCTGGTCTCAGGGTCCACAGACACCTAAGACCCTCGTGGTGGAGGAGAGAATGGGGCTGTGGCTGTGCAAGGACCTTTCTGTGTCTGTGTGAGCCTGATTCAGTGTCTGTATCACACTGTGCCTCTGTTTCCCCTGAATAAAAACACAACAAATGGTAAATGGACTCTGGATTACCATGTTGTCTGTGAATTGACCTTAAAACACCCCTGAATACTTGACCTCAAGCCCAGTATAGAGGACACACTGACTTAAATGGCCACTACCATTATTTGCCTCCATGAGAGAGAATTCCTGGTCTGAGCCCTGGTGGACGAGGGGCTGTCAGGAGCATCTTCTCTCCTCTGTTCCTTACTGGAGACCTGACCTCCCTCTGGAGTCTCCTAAGTCCCTCAGAAGAGTCAACTAATGATACGGGGTATTTTGTCTATCTGTGCTCTCCTGACACTGCCTTAGGTGAAGGACTAGGCTTTGTTCCTGTCCTGATGTGGCTCTTGGGGTTGAGCCCTGGCTGGTGAGCAGGAGTAGATCCAGTGCTTCCACCCAGTCTTTCCAGGAGGTCAAACCCAACCTGACACAGGCTCCCCAGGTTCCCTGGAGTCAGGAGCCCTGGGACAGGGGTGTGGGAGGGGTTCCCAGGCTGAGCTTCTCTGTGAGGATTCCAGGGTCCCCTCAGGCCAGGGTGTGACCAAGCTCTGCAGGGTTTTCTCAGTGTCATGGTCAAGGGGAGGAGGCTAGAGGCTGGACTGAGACTATGCTGAGTCTCCTTCTGCTGGGTTATTCCCATCAGACTTTTCTCTGTGGAGAATGTCTGCAGGGCTGGGATCCAGGAAGGGAACTCTGATCTTAGGAAGTTTGTCTCCAATGTGTGTGTCCTGCACTAAATACCCAAACCCAACCTGGAACATGATGCAGAGGGGGATGGAGTCAGAGTCCAGGGCTTCAGTCCTGGTTTGAAGTAGAATTCACCTACCCGAACCCAGAGGCCAGAGAGCAATCACTCACTGTATACACGGAGCTGTCCAGTTACTTGTTTGCTCTGAAAATTTTTGTCTGTGGCTAGTAGGATATAGTATCCTGTGTCCTTCCGGGTGACGTTCTGAAACAGCAGGGATCCATTGGGATATATTTTCTCTCGATCACTGTATGCAGGTCCGTAGGTGATTTTTTGAGTGTCTATTACATATGATACAATTTGATGGTCGCTGTCTACTATTTTTCCCCTTTGTACCATGTATAGCCTCTAAGATCCCCAGGCAGGTTGTGGACACGGAGAAGCACATCCTTCCCTTCGGCAGCATTGGGCGGCACTGATTCAATAGTGAGCTGGGCAGTGCTGGGCAGGCTCCAGAATGTTAAGAGTGAAGCTAGGAGGGAAGAGAGAAATTGATCAAGATTTGGAGCGATGTATTGGGATGGAGAGATGAGGCTTTGGGTCTTCAACTGATCTCTTCATCTTTCAGCTTCGGTGTGTGTGTGTGTGTGTGTGTGTGTGTGTCCTGTGGTCAAGTTCAGCAGCATGGCGAGTAATACTTCAGCACCTCTGACCTTATTTCCTCTGTTTTGAATACTGTTATCCAGGTGTCTGCCCTCAGACCCCTGCTGACACTCAAGGGTGTCCTTAGGAGATACCTTTGCTAATCATCTTCTCTAAAGACCTGTGTCTTCACTTTCTGACCTGTCCCTGCTCTGTTTCCTGCATGGCACTAGGGGTACCTGACATCACATCTAGATCTTTTCTTGTCTGCCTCCTCCCCATAGGACATGAGGAAAGGGGCTTGTCTGATCTTGTTGCACCCCAGTGCCTGCAACAGGCTGTAAGTACCTGTGGGTGAATGAGTGAGTCTTGCAGGGTCCTGGGCCTCCTCCATTTCTGAGCTTGGTGGTAAGGACAATGTTTAGTGTCCCTGGTTAAATTTCCTATCTCCTCACATAAATTATTATTATCTAAAGTTTTCAGCATTCAACACTCTGTGATGAGTAAATTGGGAAATAAGCAGCCATTTAGGTTTTCCTGTCCCTCACCACTTCCACATCATTTTCCTGTTGCTGAGTCTCTTCCCCCATCCTACTCTGCTCCCCTGTCTCCTCTCCTCAAGTCCAAACAGAAGCCGTGCACCTTCCCCTTGTTTTCTCTGAGAGCCCTGTGCTCCTCAGGAGTCCCCAGCTAGCCTGTGCTTCTCCTCCTCCCATCTACCACCAGGTAGTTGTCCCCTCTCACCAGCCAGCAGGAGCCCCTGGCAGAGGCCAAGTCCTCTGTGGGCAGGGGCTGAGGGGGACTCCATGGTGTCTGCTGCCTGCTCTGTCCCACCCTCTGTGGGAAGACCTTGGATTCCAAAAATGCTCACACAAGCCCTGCTGTCCTACTCGGTGGGATGTGCTGTTCCTCCTCCCTGTGCACTGAGCCTCCTCCTGGGCCAAGATCACTTCCCTGGTCACATGGGCCAGGGGTGGGGTGTGTACCCAGGTTCCTCCCTGCCCTCCCCTTACTCCTGCCTCCCCTTTTTTCCCCCTCTACATTTGCTTTCCCTGTAACTGATGAGGCTTCTACCTTCTTCCCCAGTGACTCCTCCCCATGTACACACACACACACACACACACACACACACACACACACCTTGCTTGTGCAGTAGGCAGTTAGGCCTGAGCAGAGTAGGACAATAGGCCAGTAGGGAAGGTCACCAGAATGGAAAGCCCCGGGTACCTAGCAATGTGCAAAACTGGACTGGGACCTTGCCCCCTGGGTAACCTTTCCCCCCAGAGCATATTCTGGTTTTGCAGTTTAGACCCTCTGACCTTTCATATCACTGGTCATGTGGTTCAGGCCCTCCCCTGACCTTTCCTCCCCTGGCATGTTCTTAGTCATGTGGGTTAGACGCCCTTAGAGGGGAAGAAACCAGATGACTAAGAATAGCCCCCTTCAGCATTAAGCCTCCAGGACAATGGGGTTCTGACTGGCATCAAATACATCTAGGCCGCAGTTGTGTTTCAGCTCCAGGCCCAGGAAATCAGCAAAACCAGATGAGTGGGGACATAGATGACATCAGGATCTACTGCATTGACTGATGACCTTCGACCCAAAAGGACACACCTGGAAAGCTGATAAATATTTTATTGGGCTCCTCCCCTGAGTCCTCCAGACAACTGCCCTCAAGAAGTAGGACCTTCTTCCAAAGTAAGAAGGAACTTGGCTTCTGAGGCTTATGTCTTAGTAAGAAAGGCTCTTCTCCAATAGTTCCAAGAGGGAATTTTTGGTTTACTGATGGTTCCAAATGCTGACAAATCCTAAATGAAGTCTAGTTAGGGGAGTCACACTTTTACAACTTTATCCTAATTCACAATATAGGAGTTTAGACTTGCAAAAGCATCGTTTTGCAAGTATCTTAGATAATTACTAGTATAGAATCAGCATTTTAGAGCTCAAGGGTTAAAAATCCTCTTGTAGGAGTCACACTACATAAATAGGAATGCTACGGAGGGGACCTGCCCGAGATGGGTTCCAAGACCTTATTTCCTCCCACCCCCTTAGTTCCATGATAAAGTATGGAAAGTTAACCACTGCCTGACCTACCTAAGGTAAGTTAACGCTCAGGGAACCTTTTCCTGGTTCTTGACCTTACACAAAGGAAAGAACCTATGGGGCCTTGAAAGTTAAATCCCTTTGGACCTGGAAACTAGAGACATTTTATTTCAACAATGTAGTTTAAGTACTTGAATGTCACAATGTATGACCAAGGTTGGAGAAAATGTTCTTCTCCCAACTTTTATAGGGTGTGATTCTTAAATACTTTTATAATGTTCAAGGTATATACAAGGATATGTATTGTAACTGTTAGGTTAGGTGGCTCAGGAGGCGGCGCAAGAAATAGAGTCCAGTGAATCAGAAAAGAAAGGAAAGGAAAAGGTTTATTCTGCGTCCCCGGGAGACCCACGTACCCCAAGGACAGGGCACGTGGATTCACACCAACAGGGAGGGGGGCGCTTTTTTATACTGCGGTTGGGTGAGGGGCGGGGACATGAGCTGAGGAATTCTCTGCTGCAGGGAATGGGCGGAATATTCAGGACGAAGTTCTTATCTGTGTGGGGGTATGTGAATTCAGGGAGAAGAAGCTGGTATTTGTGTCTGGCACCTTGATCTGTGAGAAATTCCAGGGGAAGTCCATTATCTTGTCATGTCTGCATGTATCCGATCCTGGGCTCTCTCCGACCTAACATCCCGGCCTTTTGGTGATAAGGGACGGCGACTCGTTCTGGCTGCTTCCAGCTGACCACGGGCGGCGAAGGGGGGCGTTTAAAGGCCAGGGTTAGGCAGAGGCAGATCGGAGGGGAGCCGAGTGTAGGGATGGAGCAGGAGCTGATTCACATTCACTTGTGACATCTCCGCGATCCGGGAGTGGATGAACTTGAGGAGGCAGGGGGCTAGGAGAAAAAAGAACACAGATGAGAATCAGGGGCCCTATCATGGGTAGGACCCAGGTGGCTAAGGGGCTTTGGAACCAGCCGGAAGGAGAGTTGTCCTGGAAGTGTCCTGCATGTAGTTCTTCAGTCAGCTTAGTCAGGGTCTGTACGTTTACGTTTTGCTCCACTACTCCGGACTCGATGTAGTAACAGCATTCTTCCTGAAGGAATATGCAGGTTCCTCCTTTTTCTGCAGTCAGAAGGTCTGAGGCGAGCTGGTTCTGCAGGGCTACTTGGGCTACTGATGTCACTTGTCACTGTAGGGAGGCTAAAAAGAGGCGGTAGTAGACTCCAGGGCTAACTGGAGCTTGTCATTAAAGTACTGAGCAGTGACCAGACTGTTCCCGAGGTCCCCCCAGTGAGGCCTACTGAGGCAGCGATACTCACCCCTAAAATGACAGGGGGGAAGGCAGCCCAGCGGGTCCAGGGATGGGATGGAGGGAGCAACCAGTGAGCTCCGACTCTCCATACAAGGTTAGTTGGGGAACTACTGTGACCACGAAGCAAGGCCTGGGGTCAGAGGAGTTCATGCAGTTCCTTAAGGTGCCGTTGCACCAAAAGAAGGTACCTGGGCTGGCCTTGGTGAGACTGGCTGCAATGTGGTATGATAGTCTCTTCTGTGGCAACCCCATAGGTGTTGACATCTTGATTACATCTGGCTGGGTTCCGCTGCCAGGTGACTTGTTTGCCGTTCTGGTAGTAGGTTTCACGGACCTTGAACCTCCACACATAAGCGGGTGGGGGTGGATGTAGGTTGCTCAGGGCCAGGAGGAGAAGGGGGAGGGGAGGGCGGTTAAGGCAGACCTTAGTGGGGCCCAACACCTCACATTTATAGATGTCATGCTGCTCCGGGGTCCTCTTGAGTCTGGAGAGGCGGTGCCAGGACAGGTCGTCAAGCTGGAGTCGCCAAGCAGCTTGGCCGCAGTGGGGGCTGTGAGGATTACAGTGTGAAGTCCTGCCCACCTAGGCTCCAAGGCTTGTGGTTGTAGGTTCTTAAGGAGGACCGAGTCACCAGGATGAAGGGCTGGTCTTGGGAGTCCTGTTCGGTCGGCTCTGGCTTGGGCAGAAACCTGTTCTCGTGTTCTCGGAGCAATTGCCTGGTTAAAGACAGATATGGGAGATACGTACCCAGGGCAGGGGGATCAGTAAGAAGACGGTGGTTGAGCAAGAAGAGTCAAAAGGGCTCAAGAAAATGGGGCTCCTTGGTGTAGCTGGAGTTTGGCCAGGGCCATGGGCAGGAGGTCTGGCCAGGAGCTGCGAATTTCTAGAGAGAGTTTAGTTAGATGGTTCAATAGGTTGGAATTGAGTGGCTATGATGAGGGTTCAAGCCAGTGACAGAAATCCAGCAGGATGTAGAGGAGGAGGGATTGATGTTAGAGAGTAGATGGGAAGTTGTGTTGATGAGGGTGGGCATAGGAGTAGGTCCAGGGTTCGTAGAGAGCGACATTAGAGGATTTCCCATCCAGACAGTAGAATTGATGATTCCCTCATCATTCCGTGTCTGTTTCACCTGAAAATATGAAAAACCTGAGCAGAATTGGAGGGTCCCTTGCCAGGTAAGAGCCTGTGAGGAATGATGTGTCATCCGGTCCTGGATGGTGTCGCCGAATCTTCTTCGGGGATGGTGGGAGGCACTCGGTGAGCCTGAGAGAGGTAGGTATTGCAGCGAAAGTGGGAGAAAACGTTAGAATGCGCTGATATCCAAAGGAAAATGGAAGGAGCAGTGGAAGCCAGGGACCTGGAGGCTGAAGAAAAGGCGGAGAGGGAGGGAGCAGGTCGCGAAGCCTGTTCCCAGGCCTCTAGCCGCTTGGATTTTAAAACTGCCGCATTTTTCCTTTGGGGAGGGTGGAGGGGGATGGGGCGAGGTCAGAGCAGTTTTCAGTTCAGAGGAGGGGACAGTTGTGGCGGAGAGAAGGAGAAAAGGCGTTCACAGCGAAGACTGAGGTAGGCGACGACTGAGCTAGGCAAAGACTGAGCTAGGCTACTGTGGTCTGGGACAACTGGGCCCCATGACGGGATGCATGGCAGTGGAGGATCTTTGTCCCTGTAAAGGGAGGGGGCCAGGAGTGGGAGGGGCAGGGAAGCTGAAGGGCTCAGAGTGAGCTGCAGAGTGGCCACTAGGATGGTGAGGATGTCTCGTCCTAACAGGGGCATGGAGCATGCTATTATCAAGGAGGCAGGGAAGGGGTCCAGTGGCCAGAGGGCAGGTGGATTTGCCGTCAGCACCCATGTCCGAGATCTTGGAAGGATAAAGGGGCCCTAAAAAGGAGGGCAGGACAGAGAAGGCAGCCCCCGTGTCAACCGGGAAGGTGACCTACTACCTTCATTGTGACCCGAGGCACAGCGAGGAGATTGGAGTCATCGAGGCTGGGCTTCTTCAGTCTTCAGCCAGTTCCAACATGGCCAGCGGGTCGTCCTGGACTGGAAGGGTGGTCCCCCCATGCTGAGGCATAAGGGGCCCGCCACTTTTCCAGGGCAGTCATTCTTCCAGTGACCATTTTGACCTCACGCCGGGCAGTGCTTGGTCGGAGCTCGGGGCCAGGGGCACTGCATTGCCCAGTGGCCTTCATTTCCGCATTTGAAGCATTCTCCAGGCGGTGTGCGTCCTTTCGTTGCACCCCCACCGCGCACGGCCCCCTTGGGACCATGCGCGGCTGCCGTCCACCTCAGGGCCACAAACAACTAAGGCGTGTCTGCAGGTCTACCTCCTGTGGAAGGCAGGCCTCCCATTCTGACTGTGCCTGCTCCTCCAGGGCATTAAGAACCTTCAAGGCCATTTTTCACTCGGATCTCGGACCTGGGTTTGAGGACTAATAAAGACCTTAAA